TCTGGCCAGTAAGGAATACACCAAGAGACACAAATGCTCCTACAATATTGGAAGTGACATCTGTGTTAAAGTGGTTTTTAAAAATCTTTTTATTGATTTTTAGAGAGAAGAAAGGAGAGACAGAGAGACAGAAACATCAATGAGGGAGAATCATGGATTGGCTGCCTCCTACATGTCCCCTACTGGGGATCGAGCCCACAACCCAGGCATGTGCCCTGATGGGGAATCGAACCTTTAACCTCTTGGTACATGGGTTGACACTCAACCACTGAGCCACACCAGCTGGGCTAGGAACCACATTTTAAAAAACAAAAGAAATATGTGAAGTTAATTTTAATAAGAGACTATTTGTTTAATTCAAAGGAGCCAAAATATTTCCAAATGTAATAGATGTAAAGGGATGATCAGTGAAATACTTTACATCCCCCCTTTTTTCAGAGTAAGTCGAAAGCCCAGGGTGTACTTGCACTTGCACTACATCTCATTTTGGAGTCGCCACATTTCAAGTGCTCAAGAGTGACATGCGAGTGGCTCCCAAGGGGCAGTACAGGCTTAAAAGATCAAGACGGGAGAGAGGATATGGAAGATGAGGCTGTGAAATAGTCAGGAGCGAAAACAGAAAGAAGCACCTATAGCAGGCATTTTCATATCATGACACACGTAATTACTAAAATCCTGCAGCACACCAAAAAAAATATATTCTTTGCCGATTTGACCAAAAAAATAGGTATAAATTTGATTCATTCACACCAAATTGTTGTGTTGGCTGTTGCTGTATTTTTATTTGACAATCTAAGGGGAAAGAGGTCATGTTTTAAACACTCTAGCAGCACACTGGTTGAAAGTCGCTGTGTATACCCAGCTAAAGTGTCACATGAGCAGTCACTGAGGTCATGGCTACTGTTACTGAGTTCCAGCCGGAGCGTGAAGACTCGAAGAGCACTCTGGTCCCTGCTTTGCTGGACGTCTACAGGAATCAGACCCACGGAGAGCCCGGAGGCAGTGCACAAGTTAGTGACCACCGTGGCTGTCCAGGCGAGTAGTAATGCAGGCAGAGCCATCACCGGGATGAGAAAGAAAACGCAACACAAGACACTCAGGCTCCAAAGGAGGTGGGGGTCAGCTGGCCGAGGAAGGTCAGGAGAGAGATACTTAGGGATGAGCCCCAGATTTGTGGATAAAGCTATGGACAGGGCTGGCAATGCAGGAGAATTAAAGGAGGTGAGGGAAGACGATGAATCATCACCGTCTGGATCACTCCGAGTTTGCGGGCAAACCCAGGTCGGAACTGCACACGGAGATTCAACAGTTGTCTACACACACACACTCTCTCCAGGGAGTGCAAGGGACCACACAGATGAGAGACGGAAGCGAAGGGAAGGATTTCGGGAAACCAGCACTGTAGCG